CGACGGTGACGGTAACGGTGACCGGTGACCGGTGACCGGTGACCGGTGGCGGTGACGATGTCGTTGACGGTGAGTGAGGGTGACGGTTATGGGTGACGGTGATGGTAACGGTGACGACGGTGATGGCAATGGTTACGGTGGCGGTAGCGGTGAGAGTGGCGTGGTGCGGAGGAGGAGGAACAGGAGGAGGCAGAGGTGGAGGAGGAGAGAGAGCGAGGTGCCGTCGAAATATCGAAGAGGAGACATCGATCGCAGCTGCCGCGACCGCTACGCACCTGCTGCTTGCGCTTCGCCGAGGCCCGCTTACGATCGACGATTACAAGACCCATTTTCATTTCGACTCCGGTGCTCCTGATAAGGACCTCTTTTCTAAGCGACGGCTCAGTTAGCGATTGGCTAATTGACTCGATAAGGTACCTCCCGTCTCCCTCATCGCCACCTTCGCGAGCTATATCGAGCGTTTCGAATTATGTCCTCGCGGTGCTCGACGACGATATATTGTACATTAATAACGGGAATATCGCTCGTTAGGTCGCCGTGATTTGTTTTTGAGTATCGAGTATCGAGGAACGGTTATGCTGATTCAGCCTGGTGAAGGAGAATGCGCAAAGGCTTGGTGCCCGACGAACGCGGAAATGTGGGACAGTGTGAGAGACCGACGCGCGTATCATTGGCGCTGATAAATAAAGCCGTAAGGTACGATGGCGGCGTGAGAATTGTCATAATGACTCCAGATTTGAGATTACAATTGAATTGAAATTGAATGTAAACTCGCGATACAACGGACTCGAGCTACTCCTCAATATCCATTAATTAAAGGAGTGACTTGCGATAACGGTAAGCGCGCGCACCCAGAGACACACGCCCTTTTATAACGATCGCGGCCCCGAAAGCTATTGCAACTCTAAATTAATTATCAACGATGCAGCAAAGCATAAAGCTCAATGGATTATTGTGAAACAACGTCCCAAAGAATACGCGACGAATGTTACGAGGATAGGTTAATCGTAAGTTTGCGAGAGAATAAAACGCAATCGTGAGAGGCCGTACGGCGACCATATCCTTTCATAAGCCCACTTCCTTTAAAGGCCAAAGCTAAAGATAAAAGTAGAATGGCACGAAGGCAGTAAGAAAGATACACACACGCGCGCGCGCGCGCATAAAAATAAATATCTATCGATCAAGTGTATATAGTACAATGGAAGCAATTTGGTGCGGAGCCGAGAGGGTGAATGGATCTCCGACAAAAGGAAACAACTTGCCACGAAGGACTTGGCATATCGATTCGAAAAAGAGTATCTCCAGCCAACAATGCAATCGAAAAAGGGAGGCGTCCAACGTAGAAGGGGACGCCCTAGGGGAAAGGGAGCACGGACCGCATCGGCGGTTAACGGGGTGCGGGGGCGCGGGTCCACGAGCTCGGCCGTGCACATGTGCTCGCGAGGGAATTTCACCAGAGCGGCGCGGATGTGCCCCCGAGGAGTGTGGCAAGTGCCGGGAGCGAGACCGGAGCCGGAGCCACTCGATGAAAGGAGTACGCGCGAGCCTGGACGCCGAGAGGCTCCCCCGTCCGTTCAGTAGCCGAGCCGCAGGCAAGGGGACCGAGGACCGCTAAATCCTTCCCAGATGTCGACTCTCCGGATAAACAGTACTGTCCGCGGCTGCGATAATTATCGTGCACGTAATTTGCGAATCCCCCCGCTGCCACCGGGTCGGCTTCTCTCGGCCTTATCCTTTTCAAGCCTTCGACCCCGATTGTTGACACACTTGACAATGACGACGACGACGACGACGACGACGACGACGACGACGACGACGACGACGACGACGACGACGACGACGACGACGACGACGACGACGACGACGACGACGACGACGACGAGGACGATGACGACGACGACGACGACAACGACCACGACGACGAGCACGACGACGACCACGATGACAACGACAACAGCCACGATGACAACGACAACAGCCACGACGACGACCACGACGACAACGACAGGAGTCACTTTTTTCCTCGATTATTTATACATTTTATTCTCTCTCTCTCTCTCTCTCTCTCTCTCTCTCTCTCTGTTCTCCTTCCACGCCCCTCTAAACTCTAATGGCAACGGACTATTACGTATGCCTACAAATTAAACTAATTATATCTGATGCTGGTTGGTACAATTGCATCGCGTTCATAAATGTAGGATTCCACCTGTTGAGTTGCAGCATTTAACTTGTCGAGCAACAATGCACGATATATCGTTTAATGAACTATTTGATCCACGTCTGTAAAATTTTAATTAGAGGCCATTTAAATAATGAATTCTCGACGTTTATCCCCATAATGACATGCTTTCGACAGTTGTACTGTAATATGCCAATTGCTCGTACGTTAAGTACGTGGATGCGAGTGATAATGATGGGTGAAGGTGGGATGGCACGAGTGGGGGGTTGGGTAAGGGGACACAGAGAGAGAGAGAGAGAGAGAGAGAGAGAGAGAGAGAGAGAGAGAAAGAGAAAGAGAGCGAGAGAGATGTCGTTGTTAACTGAAACGTACAATGAGATTGGGAAAACATTAAAAATATATGAGCAGTGAATAATGGTCGACATGTTCGTTACATAACGTTAAATAAAGTTAGGTATCCATCGGTCTTAGAATTTCTCATCTGACCTGCCTGCATCGCTGCCTCACGCTTCAACATGGACTGCGTATCACCACGTGTGCTCTGATTCATAAAAGAAAAAAAGACAAAAAAAAAAAAAAAAAATAAATAAATACATAAAATCAAGCACACTCGTCGTAATAAGGTAAATGCGCGGCTTGCATAATGTAATGCAGAAGTGGCGTGCGTTAGCCTCGATCCTATGTTTATTCCGTGCGCTCAAGGTGCTCGCGCGCATTCTCGGTTCATGTCCAAATAAGCCCGAGAAAGCCACCGTGTCGTTGTAACGTGGCCCAATTGCTTGGGCCTCGCGCCCTTAAAACGCAGGCGGCGCAATAATCGAAATAGCCGGAAGCACGTCGAGTATGTATGGGTAGATCGAGACTGCGCACCACGTGGCACGACCTTCGACCTACGGCTACGAAGGTAGCCCGACTTACCGTGTTGGTGTGGGCCAGGACTCGATGCGGTGGCCAAGGCCCCGGGCGCGCCGATACTCGTACCCCCGGACGTGGTGGCGAGGCCCTTGGAGTGAGGAGCCGGATGGAGCATTAGCATGCCCCGGGCCTTGCCGCCAATGGGCCCGCCCCTGCGTGAGCCCCGGGGTCTACCTCGCTTGCTGACACCGCGGATCGTTTGGCGTATCCTCGCGTCGCCACCGCCGCCGCCACCGCTGCCGCTGCTACCGCCGCCGCCACCGCCGCCGCCACCGCCACCACCACCAACGCCGCCGCCGCCGCCGCCGCCGCCGAGGTAATGGCCGAACGGTCGCTGATGACGGCCGTCCGAGGGGTCGGCACCCCCGCGACCGTACTGCAACCCTAGGGATATCCCCGAGGCGTAGCTGCTGCCGATCACGGGCCCGTCCACGTCCACGACGAGGCCCTCGTTGCTCGTCTCGTCCTGGGCAGACAAGGGATGGGGCTCGCTAAATAAGTTGTGCCTTATCGGATTAGCCGCATCTCTTGCGAGCTCGTTCGGGCATTTGCAATTTCGTTGGAGCGCGATACTCTTATATACAGGCTTTACTTTCCAAAGTGCTTCCTCCATTATGCATTCTAACCTTCTTAACGCTCCTCGAGCTCTACAATTTGCATTTATGAATCGAAGTTGAGCGCGTATTGAAAGAGTCGGCAATCGGCAAATTTACGGCATTTCGGGCACATAAAATTTTAATTACTCGTCGACACATCGAGAATGTTAATCAATCATTGAGATTGAAAGTTTTCAAACGGTGATGGGACCAAGCTTAGAGACGAGAAAAATATAGCGAGCGCGACTCTTGTCTGCTTGAATATTTTTCTGCGTTTCTTTAATACGTTACTTTAACGAGTACGCCGTTTGAAAATTTTATACCGTAAGGCTTTCATTGCCTATAACAATGCATATTACGTGAAATTTTTAACGAGCTGTCGACAATCGTCTTGAAATAATCGGAGTAATTAAAGCGCCAAAATTAACCAAAAAGAGGCTGCCGTGTAATTTTATTGTGTAATGTTGATTAATTACGATACATCATCAATAGCCGCGATCTGCAAATTGAAAGCTGATTAAACGCGCTAATTACTACTTTGAATTGGTTGGAGTTGAGTGAAATTTGTGGGAAGGGAATTGGAGAATTGGAGTAGCGAGAGAGAGAGAGAGAGAGAGAGAGATAGAGAGATAGATAGATAGAGAGAGATAGAGAGATAGAGATAGAGAGATAGAGAGAGAAGGGGGATATTGGATATGAGGGGGTAATAAAAGTCGGAGGTTCGAATATTGCAAAGGGTTAAAAAAAAAAAAAAAAAAAAAAAAAAAAAAATTGGAAAATTTTATAATTGGAAAGTTTACAAGAGACGTATCCGCGGTGACGAAATTGCTTTATTCCGAACGGACCATTGGCATATACGAAAGGAGGAGTAAGCATAATATTTGGTTAAATTTTCTAGAGACCTCGGACTTAACGGGGCTCTGCAAACCGGAAGTCCCGAATTCATCCTGGCCCTGCTTCTGATGATTGCCGGCGTGTTGCTGAAAGCTGGAGGCCGAGTGCTGCATTGTGGACTCGTGCGAATTGGCGCCCCTGCCGTCACCTTCGTCTACGCAGAGTCTCTTGCTGTCATTCTACCCGTGTGCGCGCCATGAAATGATTATTATATAAAATATACAATGGAGTAAAATGTAAGAGAAGGAAGAACGCGGGTTTGCTGGTTGCCGAGGGGAACGAAGGGGGTACGCAAGGAAGGGAGAAGGAGGCGACGCGCGATGGGGCGCTACCTTACCTTGACCGGAAACGCGGTTTGCTTCCTCTTCCGGTCCCTCTCCTTGTGGTGTAGGCTCGCCTCGACTCTGGCCTCCTCGGCGTGCTGCTTTCTCTCTTCGCTTCGTTGGCTGTCTGTAAAATATACAAGAGCGCGCCATGGTATATAACGCACGTGAGCCGTAATACAGGGACAAGCGGCGATATTCGCCTTGTTTTAAGAAAGGAGGAAAGAGGCGTAGAATGAGAATTGGAAGGAGGAAGAGGATGAGACGGTGAAGGAGCTGGTGGAGGGGGCGGGGGAAGGAGAAGCGTCTGTACTTTCACGACTTGAAAAAAAACTTTTAAAGTGCGTATAAGGTGTGCTTTACCTACGGTAGCCCAAAGAAATCTCATTGAATAATACTTGCGATTCTTTGGATTCGGCTTTAAGCGAATTATGAAAATACGTAAATTTAATTGGGATACATAAGTTTCTTGCCAATCCACGATTAACCAAAATTCATCGATTATCACGATATAGCGTGTGGTTTTTTACGCGGGCCTTTTGTATTTATTAGGAGACATCGGTTTAATTCGCTAAAATATCGCTCGTGAAAATATTATAGACGTTGACTTTGATACAAAGTACAAGTACGAGATAAATTATGGGGACGATTTCGTGGCAATTTCTTCCTTTTAACATTGTTAGCAGAAATTATTTTTTATAAATTACGTAGAAACCGAAAATGCGCGCGTAGGTGCCGCACTCAATTATTACTTAGCGATCGCGCGAAAAACGCCACTAATTATTATTATCGTGCAGTTTGCATACGAAAGAAAAAAAAATTATTATCAAAACGTGTCAACGGATATCCTTGATGGATTGCTTGTCGTGCATTATGGTAGGAGAATCGGCAAACACAAGCTTAAATAATAATATTAAAAATAAAAGAAAATTTGAACGGAAAGAAGAAGTGGACGGGGTTGTGATGGGGAGAATGGAGAGAATGGGGAGAACGGGGTCGGGGTTGAGTTTGGTTGGGTTGGGTTGGGTTTGAGGGGATGGGGGAGGGGGATGGGG